TACAATAAATTCTAAGTTGTAAGTTGTAAGTTGTAAGTTTGTAACCAATTCATTAATTAATTAATTTGAGAAGTGCTACATATAAAAAAAACAATGTATATTTATTTGAAATATGAAATACAACTTTACAAATTACAATAGAGAATTGAAGGAAAAATTAAAACATGAAATACATTTTATAATAAACTGTAAAATACTAATCAATCGGAATCTCCGGCGTAGGAGCCACACTCGGTTGTTGATTCATCCATAAAGTCTTGGGAGGGGGTGATGCTAACTTCTTGACATCTATGTATGGCCTTCAACCAATCGTGGTAGCATATAAGCGTCTCAAGAGACTTAGCGCTCAAACTCGTTCTAGATGCCGTTAGAACGTTGCCGGCCGAACTAAATTCTTGTTCCACGGCAACTGTTGAAACCGGCATTGATAGCACTTGCTTAGCCTTTCGTGCCAAAATCGGGAACATTCTTTCTTTTGACTTCCATCACTTTAGAACGTCAAACTCCTCATTTTCGTCAAATTCTACCTCATAATTTATATACAAAGAAATCTCATTAAGTGCGCTTTGTTCAGTAGTGTGAGTTGTTTTAGGTTTTTTCATAAGGTTGCCAAAAGCAGATTTAAAAAGTGACTTTCCTTTAGATGAAGATGTGTGTGTTGGGGGAGGGGACGCGTTGCCATATTGTCCACGAAACTCATTAAATAAGGCATAAAATAAATTACTAACCTCGTTGGATTCAACTTGCGGATCTATGGCGTTATCATCATACATTGGAAATGGACCAAAAAAAGCATTATAATAGAACTTCAAACATTCTTCCAAATTACCAAGTCCATAACGAGGATCGAGAATAAATGCAATACTATAAATATGCGGAATATGTGCATAATATTTTAAAAACTTTTCCTTCATAAAGCCACAAAAATAACTCACGTAAGCGGCATTCTCAAATTCATTAAAAGCACCGGCGAGATTAACAACTTTACGAATAAATTCGTTTCAGGTAGGTTTATAAACATGACTAAAACTTTCAGTTACATTATTAAAATATATCAAAACATTACAAATTTTTTCGCAAGTGTTGATGTGAGCGGGGTTTAAAATATAGTTATCATATTGTCTTAAAAAAGCAGGAAAATGTTCTTTATATCTAAGAAGAACTTTAATTAATTTATAAGTACTATTCCACCGAATAGACAAATCTTTAGGGAAAGCAACATATTTCACACCTCTTTCAATCAAATAATTTTGGCATTTTAATTTAAGTTGAACATTGCCCCAAATACGTCTAATCCCCCCCTTGAATACCTCCATAGCATCTCCTAACGTTTTTATACCGTCTTGCACACATAAATTTATAATATGGCATGCACATCGTTGATGAAAAAATCTACCCATCAAAGTATTAGAACCACATAATTCACGCAATCTAGGTATTGCAGCAGTATTATTAGTAGCATTATCAAAACCTATAGCAAACACCTTATCAATCAAATTATACTCAGTTAAAATACGTTCAATCAAAATATAAATATGTTCAGTGGTGTGACGATCATTAAATTCACGAAAAGCAAGAATATGTTTATGCACATTCCAATCATTGTCAATAAAATGTGCAGTCAGGCCCAAATAATGTAATTTATGATAAGTATCCTCCCAAATGTCAGAACAAATAGTAACACGGCCGTCAAAGTTTGCAAAAAAAATTTGTAAGCTATCCTTTTCCGCACGATAAAGCTTTATAATTTCTTTCTTAACCGTTTTGCGACTATAACTTCTAAATTGAGGATTTAAACAAGTTTGTGCATAATCTTTAAAAGCAAGACTTTCAGAAAACAAATAAGGCAAATTTTCTTCAACAAGTAAGTTAGTCATACCAGTCAAATTTTGTGCATCAGTGTATGAGAAATTGCCAAAAGGTTGGTCATTTGCAAACCTCGATATTTGAGTTTGCTTCCCCTTCCCTTTATCTATTTTCACATACTCCACAGAGTGTGCGGACTTAAGATGCCTTTTGAGGCTCCCGTATCCACCGGAAGTTCCCAAGCTATACTCCTTGCAATGATCGCAACTTGCGTACCATTTATCGGTTTTTGGATCTTTCCTCTTTGTAAAATTATTTTCTATAATAGGAGATTTAGATTTCTTACCAACTTGGGATGGACCACCCTCATCCTCCAACTCTTGCTCATCATCCGAGGTGCCGTGAGTCCCGTCGCCCCCCTCGTCCTCATCCGCATCGTCATCCTCGAGCTCCTCTTCATCAATGGACTCCGGGATGTTTTGTTGTTGGAAAAAGCGACCATCATTTTGCGCCAATAGTTGTTGTAGTTGCTCGTCGGACATCACATCCCCATCTCGCCTTTGGTATCCGTCATCAAAATCTTCTCGACTTTGACAAGAAGACCAGACCCGCCCTTTACCTTTGCCTTTGCGTAAACTAGGATGACTTGTCGCAATCTCCTTCATTCGGTTGCGTTGGAGACTACCCACATCTACGGAATGTCTGGCACGGTCCATCTTTAAAATGTAAAAATATTATATGATATCAAATGTTTTAATATGAGTACAATAGTAATAATAAAATGTGACTAATAAAATTAACTACTTTTATTAGTTTATACTTTAATGCAACAATTAGTAATTAACTAGTTTTATACTTGAATGAAAAATGTAACAATTAACTAGTTTTATACTTTAATGAAAAATGTAACAATTAACTAGTTTTATACTTTAATGAAAAATGTAACAATTAACTAGTTTTATACTTGAATGAAAAATGTAACAATTAATTAACTAGTTTTATACTTTAATGAAAAATGTAACAATTAACTAGTTTTATACTTTAATGAAAAATGTAACAATTAACTAGTTTTATACTTGAATGAAAAATGTAACAATTAACTAGTTTTATACTTTAATGAAAAATGTAACAATTAACTAGTTTTATACTTTAATGAAAAATGTAACAATTAACTAGTTTTATACTTGAATGAAAAATGTAACAATTAACTAGTTTTATACTTTAATGAAAAATGTAACAATTAACTAGTTTTATACTTTAATGAAAAATGTAACAATTAACTAGTTTTATACTTGAATGAAAATGTAAAAATTAACTAGTTTTATAATTTAATGAAAAATGTAACAATTAACTAGTTTTATACTTTAATGAAAAATGTAACAATTAACTAGTTTTATACTTGAATGAAAAATGTAACAATTAACTAGTTTTATACTTTAATGAAAAATGTAACAATTAACTACTTTTATACTTTAATGAAAAATGTAAAAATTAACTAATATGATGAATTTAATTACTATGAATTCAAGTGTAATTAATATAATTGTATAACTAATATATAATATAATGTTTAGAGTATATAATATATAAGTATATTACTATAAGATGAGTAATACACTTATATATAATACTTTAATATATATAAGTAATTAACAATAAATATAGATAACAAAGTAAATATTAAAAAGATGGAGATGTATAAGTGGATAATAAGTATATATTAAGTAGATAATAAATATTAGTAATATAATATAGGTATATAAGTAGATAATTAATATATAAGTAGATATAATAATTATATAAATAATATATATATGTAGAGAGGTTAATTTGGAGAAGATGAAGATGGAGATGTATAAGTAGATAATAAGTAATTTAAGTATGTATTAAGTAGATAATAAATATTAGTAATATTAATATAGGTATATAAGTAGATTATTTTATAACTAATATATAATATAATGTTTATAGTATAAAATATATAAGTATATTACTATAAGATGAGTAATACACTTATATATAATACTTTAATATATATAAGTAGATAATAGGTAGAGATTAAGTAGATAATGAATATAAGTAATACTCCCTCCGTCCCTCAATACTTTGCCAAGTTTGACCGGCACGGGGATTAATAAAGTAAAAACTGTGTGGTTGAGGTTTGTGCAGAGGAGAGAGAATTAACTGGAACCACAAATTCTTTACTTAAAAGGGAAAGTGGCAAAGTTAGTGGAACGTCCAAAAAAGGAAAGTTGGCAAAGTTATAAGGGACGGAGGGAGTATAACATATGTATGTAAAGTAGATAATTAATAATTTAATATATAAGTAAATAACAACAAGTATAGATGATAAGTAGATATCAAAGTAAATATTAAGAAGATAATAAATATATATTAAGTAGATAATAAATAACAGTAATATAATATAGGTATATAAGTAGATAATTAATATATAAGTAGATGTAATAATTATATAAATAATATATATATATATATATATATATATATAGAGAGAGAGAGAGAGAGAGAGAGGGGGGGGGTTTGGAGAAGATGAAGATGATTAAGATTTAAGAGTGAGGGAATAGAGAATTCGAGAGTAGGAAGAGTTGGAGAAGAAGTGTAAAAAATGTATAGAAAATAGAAGTATAAATAGTTTTTTTTTTTATCCCCACCCCCCTCCCACCCCCTCCAACGGCTATAGAGCCGTTTGGGAGGTCTCCCAACGGCTAGATGCCACCAAATAATTTAAAAAAAAATTGCCGTTAGGCCCGAACCGGGCCGGTTCGCCATTTCAAGGGGCCGAGACCGAACCGCTGGACTACCGGGCCGGGTCGACCCGACCCCCCCCCCCCCCCCCCCGACCAGTTCCCGGGCCGGGCCAGTTCAAACAGTAACCGGGCCAGGCCGGGCCGATTCCGGGGCGGGCCGCCCGGCCCGAGTCCAGGCCTATTCGATAGGGTCGGGTTCGAACCGAGCCAAATACTACTATGTTCGAGCTCGGCTCGATTTTCTTTTCGAACTTAAAACTCAGCTCGGGTTCGAGTTCGAAAGCTCGTTAAGCTCAGTTCGTTAACAGCACTACCTAAGAGGCTAAGACTGGTAATAGACAATACCTAAGAGACATTCGATTTCCACAGGTGCATTGAAATATGCTTGATCCTCAAAGAAGGTGATATATGCAGAAGCTTTTTAAAATGGAATGATCTTAGAGTTAGAGATAGATTAAAAGCAAAACAACGTCTATTACATGTATGAAAAAAATTACAAGATCTAAACAAAATGTGTTATATTTGTAGGGAGTAGGGATATTGAAGCCAAATATTAAATCTGAAATATGCAAAACTGGACTAGAACCTAAGAGGGTTAGAGGGCAAAGATGCATAGGGTAAAAGATGATCAAGTATTTGCTGAAAACCCCCCTTGAAGTAAGAAAAATGGCATAGAATAATGTAAAACTGAATGTGGGCTAGGCAACATTTAAATACTACTACGTAATTTCATTACAGAAAAAGAATTCCATACAAGCACACACACATATACACACACACTAGACTCTATACTGAAATGGAATCTTTGCGGACTTCAACTTCAACCAGTAGTAAAAAGTCCCCAATTGTACACTTTAAAGCTGGAAACCGCAAGTTTAAAGACCTCAGACATTGGCATACATCCAGCTTGCTCAGCAGGAACAGCTATACCAGCCCCAACTGTGGTTGCGCTTTCACTTAACGAGCTACCATAAAAAACCATAACAAATCATTTACAAAATGTTATATTGAGAACCAAGTTTCTGACTAAAAATATAACCAAACAGTTAGGGACTGAAGGAGCATCTTCTTCCTTACTTGATTACAATAGGCTCATATGCTGTGATCAGAACATCAGTAGTAACTTCCTTGAGTCGCACATTTGCCAAATAAACCTGTAATGAAAAAATGTCTTAGATCTCATTTTACAAGTCTAGTCATTTCGCCAAAGTAAAAATTTCAGAAACTCACCTTGACCAAGTTTTGTGCTTCCCTCCCTTGCCTTCCCTTTGATATAGCCTGAAAATGAGTACTTGGATGTATGACATACTGGATATATATTACTAGTATTAAAGATGGGATTAAAAAATCACAAAACAACAAAAAAAAATCACTGAAGGGTTATCATATTTTATATTCCTCATAGCAGCATGGCAGAAGACATTGAAATATAACTTGTTAAGGTTCAATCTTTACGCATGAGTTAACATAAAAATCTCTACATCCAGATCTCAAAACATGACAGTTTACTGTTTTATTAAATGTTTTACTAGAGAGTGATACTCTAAAAGTCAATCAAAGGAAACACAAAAGTGTATTTTATTCTTGATAGAAAGGATAGCAATTGCGCAGAGGGGAGAAGAGGCGAGGAGAAGAGGGGAGAAGAGGCGAGGAGAAGAGGGAGAGCAAGACTCAAGACTGATATGTTTCTTCTTGAGTTAGATGAGGATACGACTTTGGAGAGAGCAAAGTGGAGAGCGAATATTTGTGCGGATAAGTGATTTATTTTCTCCCTTTTTATCCTTTTATCGTTTTATCTTTTTTATCTTTCTTATGTTTTTATTCCTTTTATCCTTTTTGTTTTATAAATATTCTTTTTATCCTTTTTATCATATCACTTTTATATTTATCTTTATCTTTAAATTTATCTTATCCTATTTATCTTTTTTATTTTACCCTGTCTTTTTATCCTTTTTATCTTTCTTATCTTTCTTTCTTTTTGGCTCCAATATCATGTATGATCGCCGACCCCACAATCTTTTGGAACTAAGGCTTGGGTGTAGTTGTTCTTGTATAAGAAGGATAACAGTTATACAAAATTGGCACGTTTTTATATTAAAAAAACTGAAATGCTTGTCAAGAGATCATCAATTAGAATATACTGGTTACTCAAAAAAAACAAAATACAGTAGAATATACTGGGTACTGAACTATTTGAGATCGCTGTAATGTTGATCATTTAATCTTGTTTCAAGGTTTGGTCAATCTGCCAACGGTGCTTAAAGAATAAGGGGTGCATATTACATGCTGAGATATAATTACCCTACCCCAAGGATCAGAAAAAACGAGTCACTCAGAATTGCAAATATGTGAGCCCTTCCCCATTTTTACTTACTGCAACTGAATGAGGAATACATACCATTTGACCAACAGCAGTAGAAATGACAGAAGGCAAGGCCCTGAAGCGCAGTCCAGGAACATCAAACACCTCTGACTTCTCAATCAACTGTACGTTCAGATTAAAGATGTGAATATCTCATGATATTTCACTAAAAGGGTGAAATACTAAAATGTATTAGATATTCATGAAACTAGTAGCGCTGTTAAGATGTGCCAGGAATAAAACAGAATTAGCTTGTCACACAACATATATTCCATCAATGGACTCCAGTACTCCACAACCATTTATTTATAATAGTCAAGTTCGTAGAAATCTCAACCTCTGTACCTCAGAAAGAATTCTTTTGATTTCTAGCATTCTTACGGAGTGATATAGAACTTTGGGGAAAGTGACAATTGACAAATAAGTTTTCACACCAACTAATGTGACTTTTCAAGGAAATTCACAATTTTATTTTGAATCTACAGTTAAATTAGAAAAATATTACGGAGTAATTTCTATTAAAAAGCAAAAAAAGACTTCCCAGGCCTCTCTGTTAGGTTATATCTCCACCATTAAAGTGAAGAGGTTCAGTCTCCATATCCATATATGAAGAAGGCACCACCCTTCCTTAACTGGCCAGAGAAGCTATTACTCTGAGCATATGATAAGGCAATAATTCGTATCGGGTGATTCATATCAACAAAAACTAAGCAGTCGAACGCAACTCAAAAGTGATAAGCTAAAACTGCATAGCTGAACATAAATTCACAAACAAAAGAAAACCTGGAAACAGAATATAATTAAGAATTAATGTATGAAAAGAAACAAGGAATTACAATGGCTCCCTCCGCATCCTGCTCATTAGCAAGGTCCTGAAGAAACCAAGTGGCACTTCCATCATCCGCCACATCTTGCTTCAATTCAAGAAGCTCAAATATCAAACTCTCATCCCGGGCGGGATCCACAAACACCTCCTATCATTCATGAACAGAAAAAAAAACATTCTTATTGTTACAATTAAAGTCCAGAAGTAGCAAAAAACGATAACAAGTTAAGACATGCTTTAAATTTAAAACTAGCCGACCTGATTATCGGGAACTTGGCGTATAGTACTAACGTCCTGAAAATTTGAATCCAAGAAAGCAATTAATCCGCTTACATTCCAACACTTCAACAACCAACTAGGCAATTACCTTAGCAAAGAAAAAAAACTAATAAGTTAAGAAATTAGAAAAAGTTGCAGACCTGGAAGCGGCTGGGAAATGTAGAAGCGATGGCCCCACCAAAAAGTGGACGTTCCGAGTACATATCTGTAGCCATTCCAACTGAAAAAGAAAAAATGATCGTCTACAAGAAGAATGAACAAGACGCAGGTTATATGCAAAGCAAACAAATAGCGTACATCTTACGGACACCCGGATCGGTTTAAACTGGCGAGAGTTGAAAGTAGCGAGCCGGTTATTCTACCGGTTTACAAGCCAAAACCGGAAAATGGTGAAAACCGGTCAAAATTTGTCAAACTTTAGCTAAACCGGTCAAAATCCGATTAAACTGGCCAGGAAACATTTATAATTACATTAGTAGGCCTTAAGTCACAAATTACATAAAAAATTGATGATGAAAACATTAATAAATTATCGGTTTATTACTTATTACTACGTAGTTATTAGTTGAAGAGAAGAGGAAGACTTACCTAGAGGTGGAGTCGCCGCCGATTGGATTTTTGCAGAAGTGAAGAACTGATTGAACTGGAGAAGACAAGAGCTCAAGAAGTGAAGAACCGGAGGGCGGAGGCGGGAGCATAGTTCACGCACCGCTGCAGGCCGCACCGCCTTTCGCCCCTTCGGCCTTCGCACTTCGTCTTATCGCAGATTTACCTCTCCCCTTCGCAGCTTCGCTTCACGAATTGGGCTGGAGTTACGTTCAGGAGAAAAACTAATTGGGCTAACTAATTGTTATTGCAAATTTTGTAAACAAGGAGATTGAGAATGGAGCGCTTGCGAGACTCGATTTCCCAACCTTGAATTCGAAGCCCTCGCCGTCCGTCATTGAGTTGCTCTGCTCCTGCCGCTTTCAATTCTTTCTAGTCATATCGAAACAACACTTCACAGAGAACAGATGCCTGCGGATTGCAGAAGATAGCGAACCCTAATCGCCGGCATGGGGCGGAGCAGTCGCCGTTGATATGTGCACACATATGACTCTCGACTAATCAAGGGTGTAAGTTTGCGGTTTACACTCTCTGGGTTCGATTTTCCTTTCTATGTGGGGTCCGGAGTCTTTTTCTCGGTGGTTTTGTCTCTCTAGTTTGGTGGGGAAGTATTTTGTCGTCGCAGGTTGTTAAGCAGCCGGTAAGGTGGCAGCGGGTTGGATATATAGCGGGTGAAGGGTCATCCACGTCCACTCGTTAATTTTTCATATTCCACTCATTCGTTCATCATCTATTAAAAATTACATCCACATTCAACTCATCCATCATGAGCGGGTTATCGGATGGATCGGGTGAATAACGAGTGAATATAAATGGTCCAACTTGAACGACAAAATAAATAAATTATAAATAAAAATCATGACATTTAAAATCCAAAAATTAAGAATTCATTGAATAATAACAAAAACTTGAGCAATTAAGTATATTACAGTCATTAATTCACTGCCAATAAAGAAAGAACTGATTGTAATAAAAATAGACATGATTAGAAGTGGAAGAGAACTGAGAAAGCATTGCGAGTGAAGCTCTTTTTATATATAAAAGAACGGGTGATGGAACGCGTGCACATTTTATCTAAAAAAAAATAGACATAAAACTTCTTCAAATCGTCAAATTCTACATTTCTGCATCGGTACAAAACTATTTTTGTAGTTCAATAGAGGAGGTGGAGCGGGCCATGAATGCCTTCTGGTGGCAAGGCCATGCTTTTAAAGGAAAAGGAATTAGATGGCGGAGATGGACCGATTTGTGTGTTCTGAAGAGCGCTGGGGGGATGGGCTTTCGCAGGCTGCGGGAGTTCAATATTGCTATGTTGGGAAAGCACTTGTGGCGCCCTATTAAACAGTCGGGGTCGCTTGTTAGTAGAGTTCTTCGTGCTCGATATTATCCCAAGGGTAATATTCTGGATGCGGAGGTAGGGAGTAATCCCTCCCTTATTTGGAGGAGTATAATTACGGCCATGCCTACGGTCCGGGAGGGGAAGGATAAATGGATCCCTATCAATAATGGGGGGCGAGCGGCGAATGGTATTATTAGTGAGCTTGAAGATATAAAGGTGGACTCACTAATAAATGAGAGTGGTAACGAGTGGGATTGGGATATTTTACATGATATTTTTCAGCAAGAAGATTGCAAAGCTATCTCGGCCATACCTTTAAGGGGCTTTCAGGGAGGGGATGAATTGATTTGGGTGGCTGAGAGAATTGGAAAATACTCGGTCTGGAGTTGCTACAGGAAGCTTGCTACATATGTGGAGAATAGGCCAGACTGGACTCGAGTTTGGAAGCTAAACTTACCACCTAAATTGAAAACTTTTTTCTGGCAGGTTTGCACAGATTGTCTGCCGTCAAAGGAGCGGCTGATCCAGCAGCGCGCGCCGATGTGGCCGATATGTACCGTATGCGGACAAGAAAGGGAGAGCATGATGCATGTTTTCCGGGATTGTGCTCTAGCAAGAGAAGTTTGGAGGAGCTGAAACCAAATCTTTTTGCAAGTAGGGGCCGCCTCCTATGGAGAATGGGCCAACAAGGTTAGTAGTAAATGCTCTAACGAAGATTTTGAGATGTTTGTGGTGGTGATATGTTGGAGCCTGTGGAAATGAAGAAATGATAAAACTTAGAAGAATATCACCTCCAACTGGAGGGCCGTAGTAGCCCGGGCGAAGCTTTGGTGTCTGGTTGGCAGGAGGCACGACTTCACATGTGCAGTAGGCCGATAACAGCTCCTAGCAGTACAGGGGGTCGGGCAGGAGATAGGGAGCTGGACAAATGGCAACCACTGATGGCGGGAGTTGTGAATATTAATGTGGATGCAAGGGCTCACATGCAAGATGATTGGCAGGGAATGGGGCTGGTTGCAAGAGATGAACGAGGCTCTTTTATTGCAGGAAGAAGTATATGGGGTGCGAGGAAGGTTTGCGGCTAGTACAATGAAAGCTATAGCGGTTCGAGAGGCTGTTATTTGGGCAGGACAGGCCGGCTGGTCAAGTGTGGTTATTGAATCTGATGCTCTCTCAGTAGTCCAGGGGATTGCAACTTCGGATGGTATTGCTTACGAGGATAGCATTTTTGCTGAGATTAGACATATGATAGCTAGTTTTGCTAATTTAAGTGTCCACTTTGTGAAGCGATCATCGAATCGGGTTGCCCATACTTTAGCTCGGCAGGCCGATTCGGAGTCTGATTGTTTATGGGTGGGAACTCCATCGGATTGTATTGTGAACTTGCTTCGGTTTGATTGCTAAATATATGTTATTTGATTTTAAAAAAAAAACTGATTGTTATTGCAGATTCGCCTCTTGCCTTCACTCCCGTAAGTTTGTTATAATTTTCCCATTGGGCTAACTAATACGGAGCAGAAACCTACTAGTAATACTACTATTAAGGGAAATTCTATATACAGGCATACAACTCTTATTTACTAAGTATTGGGCGTGTTTCGAAAAATAAAGAAAATTAATTAAATAAATTAATTAAATAAAATGACTTAAACAAAACAAGAAAGGAGATGAAGCAGAAACTAGTCAAAGCTCGTGCTACGCACGATTTCCTTAAGACGTATTCGTTGCCTCCCGGGGTGCTAAGAGCGTTGCAAGAATCGGTTCCCAGGATACGATGACTACGAACAATAGTTTAGCACTCAAACTAAAGTTCCAACGAACGTGAACAAAGGCTGAACACAGAGGAAATTTTCTGGAATGTTAGAGGTGTTTTTTAGCTCAGAAATACATGAAGGAAGTGTATGAACTTGTGTATGTTGCAAACCACCTGCCAGCTACTTATTGGGAAGATTTGTTGTGTGATAATGGAGGTTTAATGGACATGAACGTTGGTAATCAATGTCCAGCTCGTTGGCCTTGATTCTCGTCCAGAAACCGTCCGTTTAATGCAAAGGAACGTTGGCCAATAATGCTGTAACGTCCCAGCAGTGGCCTGCTGTGGGCATCCCAGCAGCAGCCTCCTGCCAACTGGTCTGCCTTGGAGCAGGAGCCTCCTGCCAAAGCGGCTGCACCTGGAGCAAAATAGGAACTCGTCAGAGGAACAAAAATTAGCGTTTATCTTTAGAAGATAGATTTTACGGACGACATTTGTGTCTGCCCGATATTATCGGGACCCCATATTATATTCATCTGGGTTTAGATAATATTTATATGATGGTGGATATCCATGTTGGGCCATAAAAACTATGTGAGTAACCAGTTGTGCATATGATATGAAGCCCATTTATCGGTACCGAAGTACTAACAGATAAAAAGCCATAATAAATTATGGAGACCATTAAATTAAAAGTTGGGGAATATACATTCATTCTAATAGCCAATAATAATTGGAAGAATGATAGATATTTCATTTGACCCGATAAAATGAAATATAGTTAAAACAGTCCGGAAAATACAACTTTTGGGATCAAGTGTACACTTGGGGACACAAAGGGATGACCTCCCACATATGTGGGGGCCACCCCACGAAATCATTTGAGACAAATAGAGAAGGTGTGCGGCTGGAGTGATGGGAGGATGGAAGGGGTTGACTTGAGAGAAATGGCATCAAAAAGGACATTGGGGGCCATGGTCACATTTTTCAACTCTAGCATGTTTGCTACGTCGGGGTTCGGGTTCTTCACCGGATCCCTCGCTAGTATTTTCCATAGCTACGTCAAATGTTTGTTTTGACGTGCTTTGTCCTTTGTTGGACTTACATGGAAATACGTTTTCAAAGAATGATGCATTCCTTGATTCAATTATTGTGTTTTTATGTACATCTGGATTATTCGAATCGTACACTAAAAACCGATGCTACTATTTTGTGCATATCCAATAAAAATACAATCCAACGTTTTTGGACCTATTTTTATTTTCTTAGGTGTTAGTACAAGCACCTTTGCAAGACACCCTCACACTTTTAAATATTGATAGGAAGGCCGTCTGCCTTTCCACAAGTCGTATGGAGTTTTATCATATTTTTTCCGGGGAACCTTATTTAAAAGGTGATTGCTTGACAAAACTGCTTCGCCCCACATATTTTGTGGCAGGCCCGAACTTACTAGCATCGCATTCATCATATCTTTCAATGTGCGATTCTTTCGTTCGGCAACACCATTTGATTGAGGTGAATAGGGTGTGGTACATTCGTGTACAATACCCACACTAGCGCAAAAGTCACCAATTGGTGGTTCATACTCACCACCTCGATCACTTCTAACCGTTTTAATCCGTCGATTAAGTTGGTTCTCCACTTCATTCTTATAAAGAATGAATTTATCGATTGCTTCATGTTTATTTTTTAATAAACAAGCATAGCTATAGCGAGTGCTACCATCGATAAAAGTAATAAAATATTTATTACCCCCACGTGTTTGTATAAATTTAAAATCACAAACGTCACTAGGAATTAATTCTAGTGGTTCCGTTTTTCTTTCAACCGATTTGAAAGACATTTTCGTTAGTTTTGCCTCAACACAAATATCACATTTGTGTTTCACATCAATTGTGAATTTAGGAATGTGTTCCATGTTAATTAATCTATGTATAGAATTAAAATTAACATGCCACACATTGGAAGACTCAAACAAGTAAGCAGAAGGGATTTTATTATTATTATTATTATTAGTCATTACATTGAGCTTAAACAGCCCATCACATGCATACCCCTTGCCCACATACATTCCTGATTTGGACAAAACTAATTTGTCCGACTCAAAAACCATGCGGAAGCCATGCTTGTTCAACAACAAGCCCGAGATTAGGTTTTTGCGTATCTCTGGGATGAACAAGACTTGGTTGAGAGTCAGCTCCTTCCCCGAAGTCATCTTCAAGACCACCTTGCCCACGCCTTCCACCTCGGAATGGGCCGAGTTTCCCATCCACACTTTCTCACCATTTGATGGCTCAAAAGTTGTGAACAACTCCCGGTTTGAGCAAATATGTCGGGTAGCACCAGTGTCCACGAACCACTCCTTGGAATTGGATCTAACGAGGTTGACTTCTGTCACCACGGCCGCAAGGATTATGTCTTCATCCTTTTGCCCACCTTGCACCAAGTTGACGTGAAAATCTTTCTTCCTTTTTAGTGCCTTGCAATATGAGGACTTGTGCCCATTCTTGTTGTAATTGAAGCATTTTCCATT